CCCGAACGGGATTGAACACACATTTGAGCCCGCGGGCTTAACCTCAGACCTAAAAGCCCGAGCCCAACTATGTTGCGGGCCGGGCTCGGGATTTGTTAAAAAAGCCTGGCCCGACCTATAGGTTAAATAAAAAAACCCTAATATCCTAACCCCTCTTCTCATTCATCTCTTTCTTGTCTAAGCCAGTTAGCCGAACCTCTTCTCAGTTTTCACAGTGACTCACAACCTCACACTCTCAGGCGAATACTCATTGGCGCAACCAGTAAACTCAGGCAGACCGGCGTGAGTCCTCTCTCTCTCTCTCTCTCGTTCCTCTTCTCTCTCAAAATCTCAGACGCGAACTCAGGCACCGATGAGGCGGCGATAGTGAGTCCTCTCTCTCTCTCTCTCTCGTTCCTCTTCTCTCTCAAAATCTCAGACGCGAACTCAGGCACCGATGAGGCGGCGATAGTGAGTCCTCTCTCTCTCTCTCTCTCTATGAGTTCGCGAACTCAGCACCGATGAACACAATCATCCACGATGAGTCCTTTCTTTTGTTAGGTCGGGCTTGGGCTTCGAGTTTTTTATTAAGGTTAGGATCGGGCCCATTGGTCGGGCCAGGCTCGGGCTTAACAAAATCCTGTTTATGAAGAGTAAAAACCCAGCCCGGCCCATTAACAGATCTATTGCTCACTAGCCTATTTGCTAAATCTCATTTACAAGATCATCACCTGTTCACAGGGTTTGAATACGAAAATCATATACCTCAACTGCTTCGTTCTCTCTACAAGGGTTCAATGGTTCCGCTTTTAAGCCTTTCCATCCGGGCTTGAAGGCCAGCCAATGCTTTTTCGTCCATGGGAAGGACATCGGTATGCACAGGAACCTCTGAATCAACACGGACTGACCCACAGGAACCTGCTGGCTGCTGCTGCCGCAGGTGGTGGATTGAACAACACAAACACCAACCCTTTCGCTGCTTCGCCCTTGACAGCTGCCGTCTACTCTCTCGTCGCACCGACAACGCGATTAAGAACCACTGGAATTCTACACTCAAGCGCAAATTCTAATCCGTGACTGAAGAGAGAGAGAGAGATAACTCGGCTTTGTTTTGCTACTGAACCGAGTTGCAGCGGTGAGATCGGTCGGTGGTGACGATGGTGACATAGATCTCCACCGCTGGAACGAAAACACATCGAAACCCCAGTTCGATCTAAAACCCACATCTCCACCGCTGGAAACAGATATCAAAGGGCATTATTGAAATTATAAAAAATAAATGAGGACAGTATTGGCAGAAACAAATGGAATAATTGCTTATTGTTTAAACATTTAAAGAAAAATCTGGAAATTTGTGCTTAAAAAATATGTCTTTATTTTTAAAATAACCATTTATTTCGGATTTATTTTCTAAACACAAATAAATATTTAATGGTATGGTATCAGCCCAAATAATTACTTCTTGAAATAAACAATTATTTTAAGCACTCCCAAACTCGGCCTTACAAAATGATGTTTATACCATACTCACTGCAACTTGCAACCGTGTATTGGAAGTATCTATATTATGGAGAGATATTCCTAATGTATAACTGTTAATGGCTAAATGCAGCTTAAGCATCGTTTTGTGAGCAATTTGAATCTGACCTCTCCTTACTCCCACCTAACAGCACTCGCGGCCTTGCATTTGGAACATCTCTCATGAATATATATATATAGATTGCAACATGCTCTGAGATCGGTGTGAGGAAAAAACCCAATGGCCCCCTGTAGGGTGGCAAATGGGTGGATGGGATTGGATGTGGGTAGGGGTGGATTTGAGCCAAGTTGAGCCGAATAGTATGAGGCTCAAGTTCAACTCGCCAAGATTGTATAAGGTTCAAGCTCGAATTCGAGTTCGGTTCGAGCTAGAACATTGAACTCGAGTAAAAAACTCATAAGCTTGAGCTCGATTTGAGGAAAAATATTTTATAAAAATAAAAAATATTTTTTTATTTGATATTTAAAAATAAGAATTATAGTAATTAAGAGTTATAATAATATATATATATATACATACATATATATATATATATATATTCGAACTCGACTCGCGAGCCTCACGAGCCGAGTTCTATTAGGCTCGAGCTCGTCTTATTTATTAATCAAATCTGTAAATTGGGCTCAAACTCGACTTAAAGCTCGGTTAAAATCGAGCCAAGCTCGAACAACTCATAAAAAACTCGTTTCATTACCACCCCTAGATGCGGGTTGATCCATGCCCATTGCTTGTTAGTGGGTCACAAACCACCCTTACCCTTACCCTTACCCTCGCCCACCCACATAGACCAGTTTACACATCCTTATCCCCAAATTTCTTAAAATTATAAAAATAGCCTTGCCTCTTTATATAAACTCATGAAATCAAAATAAATAAATAAACAAAAAATGTCCTTAATCATGGTTCAAAAAGTATCGGTACAATTAAGTATCGATTGTTAGGGTGACCTAAATGTTAAAAGGCTTAGGCGTTTAGGGGACTCTATAAGATTAAACATTAGAATTCCTCTTAACAAATTTATTCCTGAAAGACTGGACTGAAAAAGAGTATCAGACACTTTAACGGTTCGATATGAAAAACATAGCCTTTGGATGCAAGGTCAGTTGTCACAAATGTCAGGGAATACCTGTTATAAACTCATAAATTGAATGGAAGTGCAAGGTAAAGTGTAAGAGATCAGGATGCATATTCCTTTTTTAGGTACAGAAAACACTGATTCAAAATTACAACAGAGCCAAAAGATAATAACCTCATCAGGATGATCTCGGATCGGATCATCCGAGATCCGATCTTATGATGATCCGATCTTATTCGATCAAATTTGGATCATCCCTATCCGATTTGATATATATTATATATTTATAAATATGAATATATATAATATATATGTTATTTATTTATTTATAAAATATATTTTTATTAAATTTTTATAAATTTATTATATTTTTTATTTTTTATATATATTTTTCTTTTAACAATTTATTAATTTAAAAAATAATCAGATTAGATCAGAACCAAAGATCTAACTTACCAATAGGATTATAGTTCAAATCGATTCCTATCAGATCCAATCGGATCATATCCAACATGAACAGTGTCGGATTGGATTCTAATATACTCTGATTCGATCCATTTGCATCCCTATGCAAATACATAGATTAGGCTCGGTCGGGCTTAACTTTTGCTAACATTTGAATGGGCCTGGATGAAGCCTGGCCCATGAATAAGTCAAACTTATATCTTCTTCTTCTTCCATCAAATTAGATAATCTGAATGCAACAAGGAAGGCTCTTTCCACCACAAACCAACCAGTCTCTTAAAAGGCACACCTTACAAATAAAGAAAATGAATGAGAGTATAATGGGAGTACATTTTATGTAAAACATAGCAATCATACTTTTGAACGAGCTAGGATATTGAATTTGCTTTGAAATTGGTTAGCTAGATAAATCCACAATAACTTAAAGTTGGAGACATTACTCCTCCATTTGAAAATAATATATAAGAGACCCCGGTGATATCATAATCATTGTTCATAGCATTTAGGCTCAGTTTGGAAGGAGTGTATATACAAATATAGACAGTGCAAAACTTTGTATTTTGTATAAGGCTCAATACAAATATATAGATATTTACAATATAAATACATACAAAATACAAGGTTTTACACTCTATATATTTGTATTTATACTCCTGGTAGGGATGTCAATTGGACTGGATTTGATCCAATATGAGTCCATTATAGATGAACCAGGTCCAATCCAATCCTTAAACTATTCTGGACCATTTTGGACTGGTCCAATTCAATGTTTGGATCATCCAATCTCTTCAAATTGGTTTTAATTTATCAAGCCAAATCTGGTCTATTGACACTTGTGTTCTTATCTTCTAACCAAGGTTCAAAATATCGATACATCAGCAGTGGTGTATTAGGCAGCATCGGTAGTTTTTTTTTTGAATATGGTTCAGAGGGGCCAGTTTAAGGTCCATCCACCCTTTGAACCAGTTGGGACCCCAAAACACCCCTGTAGGGGCATAATGAGAAGCCCCCGATATGTATCAATACTTTGAACCTTCCTTCTATCAATGCATTGCAATAAATACTTTGGACCATTAAGTCTGGACTGGTCCAATTCAATATGTTTTATTGGTCCGTCCAATCCCTCAAAAATGATTTTGATTTGGACGGGTCCAACTTAAAACTGACCATTGACACCCCTATTTACAACTGCTTTTAATTGAAAATTTCAAGTATGTGTTGGTGAGACTGAAAGAGAGCCACAACTACCACTCAATGTTCAAAATACCGATACACCTGATATGTCGATAGTGACATATCGGGTAGTATCGGTAGCTTTTTTATTATTTTTTATTTTTTCGAATCTAATTCAGAGGGGCCGGTTTAAGATTCATCCAGCCTTTGAACCGGTTGAAACCCCGAAACACCCCCTATATGATCATATCAGAAAGCCCCCGAATACATATCGATGCTTTGAACCTTGCTACACTCAATCCACTTGCTACTCAATCATGTAAGTGGGATGTTGGTTATGGTTAACTCATATACATACTCTTTGTTATGTAGAAGTCAGTAATTTTGCCGATGGACATTTACTACAAGGTTTAATTGGGCTTAATAAACATGGATCTTTGTAACATGGGTTATATTTACATAACTTTGGGCCCTGAGCCTATAAAGGCCTATATTAAATTCAAACTGTTATGTAAATTAAGCCCTTTACTTTGGCTTAACAATTCACATGTCTACGCTCAGTTAAAGCACGACAAAATAAAGTTAAATGAGATATACTCGCTGTTAGCTAATTCCCTGTTACCGTTTATATTTGGGATCAATTGAGTTGGTTCTATCAGCCCAGTCTTTCTGCCTACGAGCCTAGAATTTCATTTTAAGCCTGCCCCGGCCCGGCCCGGCCCAATTTCAACATTGGCGGATGAGTGGAGTCCATAAATTCCCGCGTTTCATATCCGTTCTTCCTCGGTTCCTCCACGGCTCCACTGATGTCAAACCCTGGAAGAATCGGGTGTAGCCCAACTCCCCGACCTTAATCAAGCTTCACAAATCATAAATCGACAGTTTCATAACGAGCATCTGGGAACCCAGTTGCAGAAATGGTAGACGAAGAGCATTCTGAATCAGAAAATAATGAAAATTGCGAGAAATCGAACTCTGAAGGGCTTGGAAACAGCAGTGATGGAGGGGGTGTAGAGATGTCTGCGTACGAGAAGCAGAGATTGTCGAGGATAAGAGAAAACAAGGCGAGGTTAGAGGCTCTTGGTTTGCCCACTCTCGCGTCTTCCCTACTGCGTACTGTTGAAAAGACCTCGAAGCGAAAGGGCAAAAGGAAGGACGAAGATGACGAGTACATACCGTCGGATGGAGATCGCGGGGTGAGTTCTTCGAGCGAAGAGGACAACGAGGAAGAAGATTGGAAGGTTGGGGATGATGGGTCTTCTGGTTATCGTCGAGCTTCCACTACTAAGGTCGTGTCATTTATTTGTTTTTAATTTTGTAAGAATTATGCTTTGTCTTGTTTTGCTTCACTTACATGAGAAGATCGAATTAAGTTTTATCTTCTTTTGTCATTCGTTCATAAAATTGATAATAATAAATGTATAAGCTGTTATGAAAATGGACTTTGGTGGCTTGTTTTGAATTAATATCCCAAGCCTCTTTATGATTATTGCTGCATTTGTGTTTCTGGTGGGTAAACCTTATGCTTGTTATCCATTGATTGGTTTATCACGGATCGAATAACATTCGGAAGCTTAACGGTCACTAGCCCCATGCTGTTTTCTTTTTGTGCATGCAGAAGTTTACCATCACCCCTCTCTGTTAGAATATATAGTGTTCTGAAAGGCATGGCACCATTGTTGTTCTAAAAGATGAAGGCTAGAAGCAACAATGGGGGACTGTTGTCATTTCTATCAACTGTAATCCTCCCTAGCTGATACAAACATCGAGTTTGCTTCCTCTCAGAACTGCAATGTAGTTTGCAACTTGGTAGGATTCTCCTAATTTCAACATGTTAATGGCTTAAGAAGGGTGGAATTTATTTGGACCAACTCCATGTCTGGATATTTCCATATCCAGTAGTGATACCAGAAAGAGGTTAAACATCTAGAAACTCTTAGTCCTGCAAGATAGAGAAGTGTTTAGTTCTATAATGCTCATCAGCACATAATACAAGTATATAACTCAACAATTCACCACTGAGATTTTACATGAGCAAGTGGAACTGAAAGCCATTGCATCCAAACTCTAGTGGCAGACAAGATAGATGGTAATATGGTTGAAAAGCACTAGGCTGTGGACTTTTAGTTGTAAAATATTGGGGGACTTGCAGATAGTTGTGCCTACCAAGTACCAACCTTCAAAATTGCAATGCCCAAATCATTCCAAGAATCAAGATTAGTTACCATCCTTCATTTTCTCCTGCTTTGAGAATCTAGGATAGCATTTCTAATCATCAGGAATTGAAGCTTTGGGTACTTTATTGCAATCTGAATCTCCAGCAATCCAGGAAAGCTCCATTCTTTCTTTGTTCTATCCTATTACAATCCATCCATGTGAAGTATTAAAATGGTTTGTTCCTTACTGTCAATGAGCTGATATGATCAGTGTTTTAAAAGGCATGGGAGGCGTACACCTGGAGGCACGCCTCCAGGCGAGGCGCTCCCAAAACGCCCTGAGGCGTATGCCAGAGGCGCTGACACCTCTGAGGCGTACACCTGTGCTTTTTTCATGAGGCGTGCTAGAGGTGTATGCCTCATGCACCTCATGCACATCTGATATAAAATGACAAAAAAAGAAAAAAGAAAAAAAAAGAAAAGGAAAGGAAAAGAAAGGGAAGGGAAAGAAAAAGAAAGAGAAGAACTACACCTCACGCCTCTAGGTAGTGGAACGCCTCGCATCACGCCTCTACGTTTTAAAACATTGGATATGATTTATTGAAGGGGATCATTGCAATGTAGGCTTCAGGAGTAACCAGAAAGATGTTTGTACAGATTAGCATGGACTTACACATTTTATTTTTTTTATGTGAATTCTATACTCCTTTAAATAGTCTTTTATCCCTTCTATTAACTATTACTGCTCTAAAATAAAAAAGCAGGAAAATATTGCTTTGACATAGCAGTGTATGTCCAAATTAATGGGTGTTGTTAGGTTATTCAATGGCTTTGATACAAATTGCTTTACCAAAAAGATACCTAGGAGAATTCTCAAAGTTGGGAATCAGTGTTTGGACTTGTTGGGCAAGGTCATCCTGGGCATGTAGTTCTAATGCGTGATTGCAATAAAATACTTGGATGAGATTTTGCAGAAATAAAGGACATGTTGATTAAAAAAAATGCAACTCATTGAATCAACAAACCTAAACAAAATTCAAATGCACTAACAGGGAAGTGCATTTCCCTATTATCTGTGCTTCTGCGACAATTTGTACTTGGTTAAGTATCATTTTAGTTGTTTAAAAGAGCATTGGTTATGGACAGTGAAAACATGTAAGAACTTTGTATCCCCTCCTAGTTTATCCATGTTTAGAGGACAATAGTCAAATAAACTTGTTATGTATCATCTGCTGAAGTCTGTGATAGTTGCTCTCTTATTGCAGGGGAAAAAGAATGCTACAGCCATGGGTAAATCTAAGAAAAAAGCTCATATTCAAAAGCATGCAGGTGCATCAAATCTTGTTGATGATGATGATGATGATATACTGAAGGTCAATATCATTTGATGCTCAAGAAAATCTTGTTTTCCTTTGCCATCCACATCCTTTTTTATAAGTAGCCATTTTCATCCATTATGCCTGAATTCTAAATATAAAACTTCCTTGCAACGAATGACTCCTACTATCCAGGGAATGAGTTTCATTGCTTTACTAACATTTGTAAGCAGGCAATTGCTCTATCACTTGAAGGTTCACCAGAAACTTCAGGTGCTGTACCCCCTGGGCATTTACAGAACTCTACCAGAGCTATGACTAGTGCTGATCTTAATGAACAAAAAGGAGGGGCCCATATTCAGGAAGATTCTGGAAGGAGGAAAAGGAGAAAAATGGTTTGTCTCTACCTTGAGTTGTTTTTATTTATCTGTAAATGTTTTTTTGTCTTTACTATATATAAAATGGTATTTCTTGATTTCAGAATTCTAGCCGTGTGCAAATGACTGAGGATGCGGTGATTATACACTTCTTTCAATTTGATGGTAAGTCCTTTTCTCTTGCTATAGCTGTCATTTGCATTGTAAAGGTTGTCACTTAAATTGCTATATTATACCTCTGATAAATTTGATGAGAAACTCCTTGACTTAATGTTTAGTCAAGGATTGGTAAAACCATAAACACAGTCTTTTAGTGTAGTTATCCATACAACTGATTCAAAATTTCAAATGATTCTGTTTACCAGTTTGGTAGACTCTTCCTTGCTTCTCTGGACTCTATTGGTGTATTTGCAAACAGTGACCATTAGAAGTATATTGTTGATCAGGTGGTTAGGATAATTTGTGTTGGTTGATCTTGGCTCAGCAGCCGTGGAAATTTCTTTGTTGAAATGTTTAGAATAGTAATCATAGTTTCTACAAGTATGGTGCACTTGTCTATGCTATATACAATTCCTATTATGGTCTGTATATTCAGACTGAGGATCTTTTTCTTCCTATACTTAATTCATGGCATGTCTTTTTTGAGACTGTGAAATCCCTATGTTTTAACCCAACTATCCATTGTTGTTAAGGCATCTTTGCTCCTTAGCCTCCTTATTAACATAAATGACTTGAATGGAGGGGTCTGTCCCTATGTTTTAAGCAACAATACTTGCGCTCAAGTTGGTGTCAAAGTTTCAACTTTAATAGGTTACCTAGTACATGATTTAATAGATCACTTTGATGTATAATATGTCATGAAAATGGTATGATACTAGTAGCTCTGCAGAATTGCAGATTGTAGGGACAAGAATCAGATTTATGTTACACTGTATTAAAAAATTATATATAAGATCTAATGCGTCTGTTCTTCTTATTTGATTTGTATAAAATTTTCAGTATATGGCACACAGATACTGTGACATGCAGATTCCCTTTCTCTAGTTATGAGCCTGTGATGTTCATTCCATGATAATTAAGAAGTTTTAATGAAAAACTGCAATCTGAAAATGATAAAGTTATTACTACTGAAAAACATATTGCTGGAGGATCCAATTCCACACCAATGCTAACATCAACCTAGAAGGTCCTTCTTTGTTTAATTGATGATTAATGGTAATATGAGCAACACTGGAAAAATGAGAAGGCTTCATCTGAATAAACAGAGTGGATATGAGATTCATGTACTGTGTTTCCTTCACTATTGTTCATAAATCTTGACTTTCGTCAAAACTTCTTTGGGTTTAACTGGATACTTGGGTGGCATTTGGTAACATTTCAGGGACATGTTTCCACTTTTTTTCAGAAATCAGAAAATAGTCAGTTTTCTATTCCATTGGCACACAAAAACAAGAGAAACAGTCTTCTGAAAGTTATCAAATGCAACCTCAATAATTGAGTGGATCTTATTTTTAGATGTCTTGTAACATTTCAACATTGTTGAGATGAATATTTGGTATAACAGAAGCAGGGAAAGGGAACATAAGTTTTAAGGATTTGCGAAGAGTAGCAGTTTCTCATGATTTTACTTGGACAGACAAAGAGATTGCTGATATGATTCACACATTTGATAGCGATGGAGATGGGAAGGTCGGTATTTTACTTTTCTTAATTTTATTTCAGTATCTGGAGAAAGCCGAAGGTACTATGTTAAAAGCATCCTGCGTTCATCCTATCTATGTTTTTATCCCCTAGCCCCTTTCACATTTTATGAAATAAAAATAAAGCCATTTACAACTTTTAGCAATGCCACTCTAACCAAAATTTATAAAATGATGCATAAATTTGAGAATATTTCCCTGTCAACTTTGTCATTTATGTAAAATTTCTACTTGTTTTTCCATCATAAACCCATCCTCTTCATGGTAACAAATCTGACATGCAACATGGCTTTGCAGCTAATTTGTTCTATATGATCCATATGCTGTGTTATTTTCATGTTGACCTCACTGCAACTGATATGGGCTCTCTTTAGCCTGATTATTATTTCTCCATCTTCAAGTTCTGATTATGAGAGATGCCATCCATCATTGGATATCTGGTTTGCTGTGGATCATATTGAACTTTTTTTATTTATAAATCAGGCTTAGTCAATCTTATATTCAACTCTCTAATGCAAACTGAGATATATTAAGCTAGGATCTTAGTTGCAAGAATGCAAGCCACAACTGTGCTGACTACACCATATCAAACATTTATCTTTTATGAATCATGACTCATAGATTGTATATCAAACTCTTTTATTCAGAATAATAGTAGCATATGATATTGTCTGGAATTGCATTTATGATTTTTTAATCAATAACAATCAAAGAGGACCACTTGATGAATTAATATTCCATGATGCATCTTGGAAGATACTTATAAAAAAACGATGCATCTTGTAAGATTGAGAGCTTTCTGAAGACTTGTGAATGGTTCAGGCATTGGAAAGTTGTTTTTCCTGATTTTTTACTGAACCATTTCTTTGATTTAACCTAAATATTATGATATTCTGATTTCCTTATAAAGTGCAGCTTTCATCTATCTACTGATTGTTCTCTTGCAGCTAAGTCTTGAGGACTTTCGGAAGATTGTCTATAGATGCAACATGATACAAGGTTGTGAAAATGCTGTTACAGGCTTGAAGTCATGATACAAGGTTGTAAAAATGCTTCAAATTAATACACATTATACTTATTCCTGTTCGAAAAAAAAAAGATTTTTTTTGTGCAATAAGTGCCATTTAGGCTTTGTTGTTTTTTTAGGAAGTTGGGGCAGATAAGTTGGTGGGTCTCATAGGAAAGAAATAAACCTGCATTCGTATTTGTATCTGAGTCCCATGGAAAATAATGATTCTTGAGCCTCGTAGTGGTAAAAAGAATCATAGACCATCATGTTGTAATTAGGGTCCTCAAAAGCTATTTTCTTCGTGTTTTGATCTCCTGGACCATTTAAAATTTTGAACATTTTATTAATAATATTTATTAGCTTTTGCCAGGTCATACCTATATAATAATAATAATAATTACAATATATAAGATTTCTATTAATAAATATTAGGGTAAAATATAAAAACCTCTCAAAGTTTTTGACAATCATAAAAACTTCCCCTCTAGTTTAATTTTAACAAATACCTCCCCTAAACTTTTGAGAAATTTGACAAAAACCTCCCTTCTGTCACTTTCTTAGATGTAAAACGTTAGACTGATGCACCAATTTCTTCTAAATACCCAATCTACCTTTTTATAAATTATTTTACATATAAAATTACTGAAATAACCTTATTTTTTATTTGACAAAAATTTCCTTTTAAGTTTTAACGATCATCTTCTAATGTTTTTGTCGAATTAAAACATGGTTATTCAGTAATTTTGTATGTAAAATAATTTATAAAAGGGTAGAATGGGTATTTGGAAGAAATTGTTACATCAATCTAATGTTTTTTGGTAAGGTTATGAAAGGGAGGTTTTTGTTGAGTTTCTCAAAAGTTTAGGGGAGATATTTGTTAAAATGAAACTATAGGGGAGGTCTTTATGATATCCGATTATCCGATTATTGAACAAAAAAGCTTTGTTAGAACAATGACTAGTAAACGATATCCGATTATTCGATTCCAAATTTGATATCCAGGTTCGATAAATTTAACGGATTAATTATATACATTTTATATATATTAGTAATAATTATATACATTTAAAGTCTTAAAGAGGGGTCATGTCCCTCATAAAAAAAAATTAACAAATGGTCATTTCAATGACCCTTCCCCTCCCCTCTCGAGCCTCTCCCCCCCTCTCGAGCCTCTCTTCTCGATGACCCTTCCTCTCCCTTCCCTCTCTCTCTCTTGTCCTTTCTCTCCCTCTTTTAAGTTTTAATTTCATTATTCTTCCTCCCTCTCCCTCCATCTTTTCTTCCTCCCTCTCCCTCCGTCTTTTCTATTCACACTTCTATTCTCTTCCTCGGTTTTTTTTATTTTTTATTTTTTTTTATTTCCAATCTTTACAAGTTATTAGCATCGATGGCAGCATCAGTGATAACAGTCGAGTATTGATCACCAGCCACTACCATCTCCTTTGCCACTACTTAAACTCAAACTCAAGGCCCTCAACTGTCCAGTATCATGGGTCATTGTTCTACAACAGTCCAACATTGCTCACTACCATTGCATTTGCATTGTCAGGAACCCACAATTATCGCCGTCACACACTCACACTTGGCCCATCGTCGGAAACCCATGATTTCCGCCGTTAATCCCCTACCTCTTTTCTCAAGCTAATTACTTGTTTTTTTTTCCAAAATCAGTCATTTAAGATTATAGGCCTCATGTCGTTCGAATTTGAATCGATTTGAATATTCGATTTAATAATAGAATTTGAATTCGAATTGAAACATTTGATATCCGGCGGATATCGAATCAAATTCGAATAATGTTTTTTATAATTGATTTCGAATTCAAATCTAGCCTGATTCGATTCGAATTCAATCCGTTTACAGGCCTAACAATGACCAAAGTAGTGTTGTACTATCGTGCAAGTTGTCACTATGATTGGTTTTCTGGGCTTTTGGGCATTAAACATGTTCAACAATTGTGTTATTGAATGCTGATGTGATGACCCATGCGATGTAGTAACTAGTTACAATGATGGTGGTAGTGCCAGGAAATGGCTAGTATCAAATGCCCACGGGTCATGGCATGTTGTATAGGTTATCTTTGTTTATTTAATAAAGGCATTGAATCTCAAATAATTTTCTGTCAAGTAGCCTTAGAAGTTCTAGAGAATCTCAAAGTCTTATTTTAGGTGGTAGAACTATTATGTCTATGGTACACAAGTTGGAAGGTTTGTCTTATATGTGGTAGCCTTATAATCTTTGAATGCCATTGAGTTAATTACAAGTTGGAAGGTTTGTCTTATAATTTTCGAATACAATAAAGGCAATTACAAGTCAATTACATAAGGATGTTTGTTTTTATGTGACAATCCTATAATTTCAAAGGAAAAAAAAATGTAAAAGTTACTCTTAGATTCTATTTCTTACATCCTTAAGTTTTCTTTCATACACATTTCAACTTAATATATATACTAGAAAAGGGGCCCCCACATTGTAGGGGCTTGCAAAAGCAAAATTATTGTATGGAAAAAAAATGAATTTGCAAAAAGTAATTTTTTTAATTAATAGTTTTTAGGAAAAAGGATTTACTTAAAATAAGTAGAAATTTATGGATAATAATACATTTAATAAAATAAAACAATAAATAAATAAATAAAATTTTCAATTTTGAAGTCAATTTTGTTGTTAAATAAAGAATATAAATCTTTTTTTCGCAATTTCCTAATTAGGCTTTGGGCTTTATATGGGGGTTAAGCTTGGACTCAAGATCTATGCTCGATGGTCCAGTCATGCTCAAGCTTGGGCTTAAATATGTTCTGTTGATATAAAGGTAAAGCCTAGCATGGCCTATGAATAGGTTTAATCCCAACCCCGGGGCAGAGACAGGGGGACCCCAAGGAGCCATGGCCCCCTATGGCCCAACAAATCCCCACTCATCATGTATATTTTCCACTCCCCCACTCCCCACCCCAATGGTCCCCCCCACCCATATTTATTCCCCGTACTCCCAATCCACTTAGATTTTGACACCCCTCATAAAAAATTCCTAGCTCTGCTCTTGCCCAACCTAGACCTAACCTATTGATAGCCCTAAATTACCCCCTCCCCCCCCCCAATCCACTTAGATTTTAGCCCCCCTCATAAAAAATTCCTAGCTCTAACCTTGCCCAATGCAGACCTAACCTATTGATAGCCCTAAATTATTAGGCTCGGGGAAAAAGAGAAATAATTTGTTAGTAAAACAAATTATTAACTAATTGAGTAATTTAGTAAATTAAATAAATAGAAATCTATGGATAATAAATTACTTAATTTTGTAAAATAAATAAATCAATTATTTATTGTAATAAAATAAACTAGCGGAGGGGCCCTGCTTCGTAGGGGCTGGAATGGAACCAGACCTATTGACCCATTGACCCGTTCAATGGTTTTTGGTTTTCGTTTTTTTTTTTTCATTTTTGTTGTTAGAATGGGCCATCCGTTTGAACCGAATAGTTGAACCATCGACCCAAAAACCGGTGGACAGAACGATTCCATTTTCAAGTCGTATGAGTCACACACTCGAATCACATAACACATGGTACTGCTTAATAGACCCCACACACTCAATTTTTTGCCTGTAATTTTTGTTGTCAGAACGGGTCGTCCGTTTTTTTATTTTTTTAATTGGGAACCATCCAGACAATTACCCCAATCCCGGTCCCTGGCCAAAAACCATTGAATCGATCAACGACCCATTAACCCAAGTGGTCAAACCGTCAACCCGTTCAATGGTTTTTGGTTGTTTTTTTATTTTTTTTAATTTTTGTTGTCAGAACGAGTCGTCCATTCGAATTGGACAGTCGAACCTCGACCCAAAAACCGATGGCCAGAATGGTTCCATTTTCAGGTCATATGAGTCACACACTCAAATGACATAACATCATGATTTTTAAAATCGACTCGAAGACCGAACCGGTTAGGGGTCCAGTTATCGGGTCGAACGGTCAACCCATTTTGACAAAAATTTTAAAAAATAAAAAATGGCCAAAACGTCCAATGGTTTTTGGCCATTTTGTTTTAATTTTTGTTGTCAGAACGGGCCATCCGATTGAACTGCACGGTCGAACCGTCGACCCGAAAATTGGTGGCCAGAATGGTTCCATTTTTGGGTTATATAAGTCACACGCTCGAATGACATAACATCATGGGTCTTAAAACCAACCCAGAGACCGAACCGATTAGGGGTCCAATTACCGAGTCGAACGGTCGGCCCGTTTTGACAAAAAAAAATTATAAATGAAAAAAAAATAAAAACGGGGAAAACCGTTCGAACGGTTCCATATCTAGTTATTAACAATATTTATAATAACTAATATATATTTATATAATTAGATAGTTATATAAACAATATTTATATAATTAGATAATTATAATAACAATATTTATAATTATATATAATAACTATTATATATTTATATAATTATGTAATTATATCTTATCATCTAACAATATTTATATAATTAATAGGAAATGGGTTACTCTCACATGGGCACGAGTAGATTCCATTTACTATACGGAGAGAGCACCCCAATCCTATTAATATATATATATATAAGATAAGTAACTATTCATTTATTATTAGGATATGATTGGTCCAAGTTATCTAGAACCAAACCTGACCCATTGACAATCCTAAATATTGGGCGCATGTTGAATTAAATAAATAAAAGTTATGGATAATAATATATTTAATAAAATAAAATAAAACAATAAATAATTAAAACTTTCACTTTTGAAGTCAATTTAATATAAATAAATCAATTTTTTCATTAAATAAAGAATACAAATCTTTTTTCACAATTTCTTGGTCGAGCTTCACTGCTTCAAGCTTTATATGGGGTTGAGCTTGGGCTCAAGATTTAGGCTTGATGGTCCGATCATGATCAAACTTGGACTTGAATATGTTCGATTGATATAAAGGCAAAGGTCACATCCCAACATGACTTGTGAATAGGTTTAATCCCAACCCTAGGGGTGGAGCCAAGAGGACCTAGGAAAGCCATGGCCCCCTTCAAAAATATTGAGCTCAAACCTACTTATTGATATCCCTAAACATAGGACTAACAACGGGGTCGGGTCTTGTTATGGGCCCGGGCGTAGGATCACGTCACGGGTTGGTCCACTGGGAGAGAGTCCTGTTTTCCCTTACCCTTCCCCTTGCGTACAAACCCTATTGTGGCAGTCGGGTGGGTGATTTGTCCAAGAGATCACCCGAACTCTCCTTACACCTTTCTTGGTCGAAAAACTGTTTGCCTTTACTTCAACTCGTAGCTCCTTAAATAGGAGATT